CCCCAGGACAGGCCATCACCAAAGACAACTCTGGGTATCAGTAGACTGTGAGGGTCCTTGCTAAGGCCTTTCTTATTAAAGTTCTGTTTACCAAACATTTGCTTTTCCATCTCCATGTGAATTGCCTTCCTCCCCTTTGAAGTCCCAGACCACTACCCCCAACATCCTCCTCTGTCTTTAGCTGAAGATGCTATTTAAGCTGGCAGCTTTGGCCATTCTGGTGAGTTCTCAGTTTTCCTAGGTTTCACCCATGTACACATGTTATAAAGCTTTGTTTGACTTTCTGTTATTCTGTCTCATGTCAACTTAATTCTCAGGCCAGCAAAAAGGACCTAAAGGGTAGAGAAATTGTCTTCCTCCCCTACAGGATGCTAGATGTGGAGTCCAAACCCTTCCCTCCTTAGGGAGAAGGTGGGAGCTCCGAGATCCCTCCCTGTTGTATCTTACTGGGCCAGGGGCTGGGTGAACAGTGAGAGTGTGCCTTAGCTTTTCCCACCTATATTTTCTCATTCGTTTGACGGGTAGGAGTCACTCAGCTAGTTTCCATATCTCTTTCAGAGACAATTGCTCCATGTGTAGCTGTACATTTGGTGTGTCTGTGGGATGAGGAGAGCTCAGGACCCTCCTATGTCATCATTTTGTAGATACTGTGATGTGGATCAAGGCTGATCCAGGTAAAGAAGCCCAAAGTGTCCTGGCCTACATGCCGATTTATATGACCTGATGGATTTTACTGTGTGGATGAGGGCTGCCCCAGGGAGAGAAGCCCAGGGCATCCTGGCCTACATGCCGAGCTATATGACCCAATTCATATCTAAAGTTATACGCACACAATAACCAGACCCCACCTGCACTGATACCATTTAATGACTTTTTACATCATCTTTCCTTTGGTAAAAATAAGTCACATACTCATGTCTTATAAATTTAGCCCTAACACTCAACACATTGCAGCTCTTCACTGCCCATGGGTCCTGTCCCCATGCCTGCAGCTCTTCACTGCCCGTGGGTCCTGTCCCCATGCTAGGCTCTGAATAAAGGAGCACTACCACCAGACCTTGAGAGTCAAAGCAATCTTTCTTTCAATTCTTTGGCTCTCGGAGCCCACATCACTCCTCCTCACTCATTCTTGTAGAGTGCTTTCCCAGCTTCATGGTGAGAAGGGAGGTGTGGGAACGAAGGAGGGAGTTGTCTGTCATTCATTCAACAAACATTTAATGAGTACCTACTATGTGCTAGGTGCTGGGGATTATAAAGACAAAACAGGTACAAAGCTTGCACTAACAAGCTCAAAATATTAGTGAAGAGACAGGGAAACAATATATCTGTGTGACAAATTATAACAGAATTATAGACAGCTATGTGAGAGCTTAGAGGAGGTAGTCGGGTGGGCAGAGGTCTTCAGGGAGGAGGTGACCTGTGATCTGGGTCTCGAAGGTTGAGAAGGAGCTTGGTAGGCTCCTAGGGATGGTAGGGATGGGGATGCTCCCCTCAGACATTGTAGATTTATTAGTCAGAGAGAGCAGTCACTGTTTGATTAGGTTCTACCGCTGAAAACGATTTCCTTTGTGGCTTTGGACAGCACCATTACAAATCTGGAAGTCTTAGTGTGCGTTCCTGTTGAAGAGGGAGACTAACATCAACTAGTCAGAACCACCGGGAGAATGAATCAATTGATGTGGTTTGCTAGAGCAAGTGTTTACTTGTTAGAAAGCCTCCAGGGGGAATATGTGGAAGGAGATGGAATGTGGGGAGGTGAACACCAGGCAAGAACAAGAGGAAGCAAACGGAACTGGACTCTTATTAGCCAGTGATGGATTGATCTTCTGCCACTGATTTCCCAAACTCCCAGCTGTTTCAACTGGAGGCTTGTTCAATATTTTAAAAGCAATTTAAAACCAATTTTTGAGTTTGCTTTCTTTAAGAAAATTATTGCATTAATCAAAACATGCATTAAGTTTAGGGTCAAGCAGCCTAACTGAAGAGAAAGGCCTGATTGGACCCTAGGAGACATGGGTTTGCCGGCTGGATAATGCCATATCAAAGACCAGAAACTGCTCAGCTTTAAGGGAGAACAGTGGAGAGGAGCCAGAAATGCTGAAAGGAAAAAGCTTACAAGTGAATTGCATTGAAAGGAAATGTGAAGAGGGCTAATGAGGGTATTTTGTTAGTATTAGCAAAATTCAGACAAGAGGATGCATCTGAAGCCTTCAGTTCCAGGCGGTGAGGAGGGCTGCAATTAGATTTTTATTGTTAGATGTGTAGAGTGTCTTCCTCTGAGAGATTTCAGGTCAGTGGAATTGCAGAGGTCATTCATGTAGAGATCATTGCCGTTTGAGAGGAACATAGGGAACAGAAAATAAACTGGCTCTATTAAAATAAAAATCCTTTATTCTCTTACCAAATGGAATTGGGTCTTTTAGTTTGATGAACCAGCTTGTTTGGTTCATCTCTTTTCATGTCCAAGAGTAGCTTTGTTTGAAATAAGGAAACTTTGGAGATTTGGTAAATTAGCCCTTAGAGAATATACTGGTTATTCTGTATTCTTCTCCCTGCTCTGCTCTGCACCTGGAAGGCTGACTTCCATGGGCTATGTCCCTAGGTTCCCTTGTGGCTGGTTTTCCGTTGGGTGTGGTCAACAGAGACATTAGGAAGAGAGAGGAAGAGATGGGGATAGAGAAGTCAAGTTGTCTGTCCTTCCTTCCTTCCTGCTTTGGGCCCACTTCTGGCAATGCTGGACCCTCCATGATTACACCTCTTGTCACGAGGCCCTGCCTCCACCACTCCAGCTCACGGAGTTATTTTCTGTGTAGGGCCATTTCCTTCTCTTCTCTCTTCAGGCCTAGGGAGGTCACGGCCCCCCGCTGAGGCTGGGCTCTGAGGCCCTCTACATTGATTTTGGTTCTTGTGACCCTACTCCATCAGTTAAAATCTCCTCATGTGCCCATCTGAGTACGATTCTCTTTCCTGTGGGACCCTGAATGAATCAGAGACTTAGGAAAAATGGCAGCAAAACTCCACGTAGTTGCCTTCTGTTCTCAGGCCAAGAGTGGAGCAGCAGACTTTTCCAATTTGGTGGGTCAATTTTCTTTATTTTCAAACAAGAGGAATATGAGGTTGGCCCAGAAATGGGGAGCTCAAGGCAGGAAGGAGGCTGATTTCAGGGACAGCCTGTTACAGGGCCTCTCTCCTTGAATTCATTCTTGGCTAACCTTGTTCTGAATTAACTATCGCTCTGCTGGAATGTTCTTTATCATTCCTATCCCACTGTCGTCTAGACAAATTCTGACCCACCTTCCATGACTTTTCTAGGGAAGTGTTATACAAAGCTATATATTTGCTAAATGTTGGTTTAACATATAATCATTATTTGTTTCCCCATATGTCTCCCCTATGGCTCTCCTATGAGCCTCTGAAGAGAAATATACTTATCTGCATTTTTCCAGCAGGATCCTGACCCATACGTATGCTTGATTTAATGTCTGCTAATTGATGGTGCTTACAGACACAGGCCCCTTGGTACTGGTCATCTATGCTTAGGGCCAGCTCTAACTTTCTTCCTCCCATTTTAATGAATTGAACATTAAGGTTTTAATGACTTTTTTTTTTTTTTAATTTGGGCTACCTCAACCTGTGACACCAAGGATGGTTGGTTCCTCTTGAATGAAGAATAAAGGGGATTGTTGGGTGAGTCAGGCACCTGGACAACTTTAGGTTAAGCAACGCTCTTCATCACTTTATTCCCACTTTTTTCACACCAAAAGATGTTAGGATATCACTTCGTGGAAGCCTCTGTGCATGTTTGTGATCATAAGAGCATGCGTATGTAAGTTTCTAGACCAACTCCATTTCCCAGAGCCACAGGATTTACCCTTCTGGGCCCCAGTGCTCCTGACCCAGAGAGGCCTCAGGGTCATTATTATTCCTGACATCAGTACCCAGTGAGCTCCCATTTGAATGTTCCTGAGTGAAAATAAAGTCAACGGAGAGAGCATTTGCTGCCTTTGCTATAGAAATGGCAATTAAGTCCTAAATCTCCCAATATGCTCATGGCCATTATTTTAGGAGCTGATGAGAAGACCTGAATTCACTAATTGTGTTTATTTAGTTATGCTAAGACTGAGTAAATACATCCACTGAATACCTTACAGGGATACACTTCTTTCTGCTCCAACTTTAGAGCATTCAGATATTTAAAATTCTCTCCTGTAAAATTAAGATGTTCTGGAATTTCTATGTCTATTTATGAGGTTTCTGTCCATAAAATGATTAAGGGATTTATCTGAGTAGATTTGGTATTTAAATCGTTGTTAACATCTCTATCAGGAGAAAACTAATGAGCAAATTCATCAGCTGTGCTGACATTTTTACTCCTTTCCCCTAAGGTTTGGTTGATCATAATTAATAAATAAAAGAAAATGCATTTGCATTTCCCTAAGCCTGATACAGCACAGCAGAGAGCAAGGCTCAGTAAACACATTCTTTACCTAATCAAGACTGGAATACAGTTGAACGTGGTTCATGATACCATTATATAGCATAATAATGATATCTTTGCATCATAACCCTTCTATCATTTCATTCATGGACATAGTTCTCACCAAAGATTCTAAGCAAAGCCCTTTTGAACAAGATCACTGTGGGGTTCGTATCGATTTCTCTGATTTAGAGATTAAGTTGTTTTCTTTCTCCTCTGAAGACTTCTGGGATCAAGGTATGTTTCTCATCCCTATTCCATATACCTCTGGGGAAAAACTATCATGGAAGCACTGACACACCTGAAACGGCCACTGGAACATCTACAGATCTACCCTGAGGAGAGGAGTGCTTCTGGAAGGACTGTGCTGGAGGAGAAGCCACAGCCCCATTCCCATGGCTGGAGGCCATCAGGCTACATCTTGTTTTTTTCAGAGTGGAACCCTCAGCGACCTCCAGGAAACAGCTCTTGTCTCCCACCCATAACCTGAGCCCTGCTTTGAGGAAGGCAGAGGACACTCTACCTGAGTAACTGCTCCCGAGGCTTCAAGCAGGGCGTTGCATTCACCTTCATGGTACGCTTCCTTACAGTCCCGGCAGAAGACAAACTGCAGAAGAAAACACACGTGTTAGGGACGGGCTGGCTGGTGCCTCGAGCAGTGACGTGCCTTTCTTTTTCTAAGCTCATTATATTCAGGCCTCTGACTTGGGCGATGGTTTCTGAGCCACATTGCTTTTTGCAAAGAGAAATAAAATTATATTTTGATGGCACCGTTCACTCTTTTCTAAAGAATGTTCCAAGTGTTCTAGTAGGGTCTCAAAGATGAATGAGTCACATTTTCTTTCTTCAAGATGTTTCCAGCCTGGTAGAAGAAACAGTAATGCGAATAAATACCTGTAGTAAAGTGTTATTGGTGTTAGAATACGAAGAAAACAATTTCATTCAAGAATTTCAAGTCTAATATTTGCTTACATAGAGAATTTATATGTCCGTGTTAATGGGCTTGTTTTTGTATTAAAAGCCTATCATGGAAAGAAGAAATGGGCTGTCATGGGCTGAATTGTGTCCCTTACAAATTCATATGTTGAAGTTTTTTTTTGCTCAAAATATAAAACTTTCATTTTTATTTTTTTATTGAGGTATAATTGGCATACAGCATTATATTAGTTTCAGGTGTATAACATAATGATTCGATATTTGTATACAGTGTGAAATGATCACCACAATAAGTCTAGTTAACATCTGTCACCAAACCCAGTTACAGAATTTTTTTCTCATGATGAGAACTTTTAAGATCTACTCTCTTAGCTACTTTCAAATATGCAATACAGTATTGTTACCTGTAGTCATCACTGTATATTACATCCTTATGAGTTATTTATTTTATACTTGGAAGTTTGTACCTTTTGACTCACTTCACCCATTTCACCCACTCCCCATCCCCTGCCTCTGGAAAACAAATATCTGTTCTCTTTATCCATGAGCTTGGTTTTTTGTTTTATTTTTTTTAGATTCCACACATAAGTGAGATTCCACAGTATTTATCTTTCTCTGTCTGACACTTCACTTAGTGTAATGTCCTCAAGGTCCATCCATGTTGTTGCAGATGGCAAGATTTCATTCTTTTTTATGGTTGAATAATATTCCATGTGTACTGTATATATAAAATATATATATATGCCACATTTTCTTTATCCATATCTTGGCTATTGTAAATAATGCTGCAATGAACATGGGGGTTGAGTATATATTTTTGAGTTAGTGTTTTCATTTTCTTCTGATAAATACACAGAAGGGTAATTCCTGGATCATATGGTGGTTCTATTTTTAATTTTTCGAGGAACCTCCCTAACTGTTTTCCATGATGGCTGCACCAAGTTACATTCCCACCAACAATACACAAGGGTTCCCTTTTCTCCACATCCTCGCCAACATGTTATCTTTTTGCTAATAGCCATTCTAACAGGTGCGAGGTGATAGCTCTTTGTGGTTTTGATTTGCATTTCCCTGATAATTAGTGATGTTGAGCATCTTTTCATGTACCTGTTGGCCATCTGTATGTCTTCTTTGGAAAAATGTCTATTCAGATCCTCTGCCCATTTTTAAATCAAATTGTCTGTTTTCTTTGCTATTGAGTTGCATAAGTTCTTTATATATTTTGGATATTAATGCCTTATTAGATATATGATTTGCAAAGATCTCGTCCCAATCAGTAGGTTGCTTTTCATTTTGTTGACGGTTTCCTTTGCTTTGCAGAAGCTTTTTAGTTTGATGTAGTCCCACTTGTTTATTTTTGTTTTTGTTGCCTCTGCTTTTCGTGTCAATTTCAAAATAAAAAATAAATAAATCACTGCCAAGACTGATGTCAAGGAGTGTACCGCCTTTGTTTTTTCCTAGGAGTTTTATGGTTTCAGGTCTTACATTCAAACCTTTAATCCATCCTGAGTTAATTTTTGTATATGATATGAGAGAGGGGTCCAGTTTCATTTTCTTGCATGTGGCTGTCCAGTTTTCCCAACACCAGTTTTTGAAGAGTCTGTCCTTTCCCCATTGTGTATTCTTGGCTCCTTTGTTGTAGATTAATTGACCATATATGCATGCATTTATATCTGGGCTCTCTGCTTTGTTCCACTGATCTATGTGTCTGTTTTTATGCCAAGACCATCCTGTTTTGATTACTACAGCTTTGTAATATATTTTGAAATCAGGGAGCATGATGCTTCCAGCTTTATTCTTCTTCCTCAAGATTGCTTTGGCTATTTGGGGTCTTTTGTGGTCCCATATAAATTTTAGGATTGTTTGTTCTATTTCTGTAAAAAATGCTGTCGAAATTTTGATAGGGTTTGCATTGAATCTGTAGATTGCTTTGGGTAGTATGGACATTTTAACAATATTAATTCTTCCAGTCCATGAACATGAAATATCTTTCTGTTTATTTACGTCCTCAATTTCTTTCATCGGTGTCGCAATTTTCAGTATACATGTCTTTCACTTTGTAAAGGAAAAACTCAGTTTTCCTTCCTTTCTAGGAAAAAACCCAGTCCTCCTATGTTTCTCTCCTATGAGTCTCCTTTACTACTCACACAGAACACTTTGCTTCTGACACTTTGGTCATCAAATGTGTGTGGGTTTTCCCCACAATAACAAGCAAGGCTCTCACACCAGCTGGGTGTCCTATAATTTGCTCAGTTTTAACACTATCTACCGACAGATGGTGTCAGATCTCACATGCAAGGGTTCAGTCCCACAAAACCTACCCCCTGCCCCCTCACCAACTTCAGATGCCAGTTGCAAGCTCTGGTTATCACCTGTGCTTCTGACCCACCAGGTACAGGTCCAACGACCCCCTCCTCAGGTTCCATTAATTTGCTAGAGTGGCTCACAGAACTTAGGGAAACACTTATGTTTGCCAGCTTATTAAGGGCCACGGTAAAGGATACAGATGAACAGCCAGATGAAGAGAGACACAGGGAGAGGTCTGGGAGGGTCCCGAGCTTAGGAAGTTCTCTTTCCGTGGAGTCAGGGTTCGTCACCCTCCCAGCGGGGATGTGTCCACCAATGTGGAAGCTCTCTGAACCCTGTACTATTGGGATTTCATGGAGGTGTCCTCACGTAGGTATGATCAATTATTAACTCTGTTTCTAGCCCCTCTGCCCTCCCTGGAGGATGAGGGGTGGGACTGAAAATTCCAAGCTTCTAAACATGGCTTACTCTTTCTGGTGACCAGCCCCCATCCAGGAACCATTCAGGAGCCCATTCAGTCGAAAGAACAAAAGATGCTCCTAGTGCTCTTATCACTTAGGAATTTACAAGAGTTTTGGGAGCTCTGTGCTAGGACCTGGGGAGCAGAGACCAATATATATTTTCTATCTCACACACTTCCTTGGTTAAATTTATTCCTAGGTATTTTATTCTTTTTGAAACAATTGTAAATGGGATTTTTTCCCCTTGATTTCTCTTTCTGATAGTTTGTTATGAGTGTATAGAAACACAACAGATTTCTGTATATTGATTTTGAATCCTGCAATTTTACTGAATTCATTTATTAGTTTTAACAGTTTCTTGATGGAGCCTTCAGGCTTTTCTTTATATACTATCATGTCATTTGCAAATAGTGACAGTTTTATTTCTTCCTTTCCAATTTGGATGCCTTTTATTTCTTTTTCCTGCCTAATTGCTCTGGCTAGGTTTCCAGTACTCTGTTGAATAAAAGTAGAGAGAGTGCACATCCTTGTCTTAGTCCTGATCTGAGAGGAAAAGCTTTCAGCTTTTCACCATTGACTATGATGTTAGCTGTGGGCTTGTCATATATGGCCTTTATTATGTTGAGGTATGTTCCCTCTATACACAATTTGTTGAGAGTTTTTGTCAAAAAGGATGCTGAATTTTGTCAAATGCTTTTTCTGCATCTATTGAGATGATCATATGATTTTTACCCTTCATTTTGTTAATGTGATGTATAATATTCATTGATTCATGGATATCGAACCATCCCTGCATCCCTGGAATAAATCTCACTTGATCACTGTGTAGGATCCTTTTAATGTATTGTTGAATTCAATTTACTAATATTTTGTTGACAATTTTTGCATCTATATTTTATCAGGAATATTGGCCTTTAATTTTCTTTTCTTGTGTTGCCCTCATCTGGTTTTGGTATCGGGGTAATGCTGGCCTCATAAAATAGTTTGGAAGTGTCCCCTCATCTTCTATTTTTTGGAAAAGTTCGAGAAGGTTTGGTATTAAATCTTCTTTGAGTGTTTGGTAGAGTTGAAGCTGTCTGGTCCTGGACTTTTGTTTGTTGGAGGTTTTTGATTACTGATCAATCTTCTTATTGGTTATCAATATGTTCAGATGTTCTATTTCTTCATGATTCAGTCTTGGTAGGTTGTATATTTCTAGGCATTTATCCATTTCTTCCATGTTGTCCAATGTGTTGGTGTGTAATTGTTCATAGTAGTCTCTTATAATCCTTTGTATTTCTTTGGTATCAGTTTTAACATCTCTTCTTTCATTTCTCGTTTTATTTATTGGAGTCTTCTCTCTTTTTTTCTTGGTGAGTCTAGCTAAAGGTTTGTCAATCATACTAAGTCCCAGTACCTCAGAATGTGACTGTATTTGGAGACAGAGGCTTTAAATCGTGAAGTAAGGTATTAATGAGGTCATTAGATGGGTCTTAATCCAAAATGACTGGTGTCCTTATAAGGGGAGATTAGGACACCGACAACAGATAGACTGAGAGAGGACCATGTGAGGACACAATTAGAAGGAAGCCATCTTCAGGCCAAAGAGAGAGGCCTCAGAAGAAACCAACCCTGCTGACACTTTGTTCTCGAACTTTCAGCCTCCAGGACTGTGAGAAAATAAATTTCTGTTGTTTAAGCTCCCCAGGCATTGGTACTTTGTTGTGGTAGCCACAGGAAGCAATCTGCGGGCTGAGGTGGATCTTCTCATTTAGGTGCTAGTTCTCCTTTTAACATTCATACACCACAGAATTGGAGAGACCAAGGGATCAACTGCCTTCCACCCTTCATCTTACAGAGAAGGAAGCTGAAAACCCAAGCTGTTCCCCCATCGTCTGGAATCACTGGACTCCTCCAGAACGCA